TCTTTTGGTGACGTACGGAATACGATATGAGTTTTAGGCATGCTGACAGTTACGTTTGTTACTTTTTGATGAATGAGATCCATATTTCAAGGTGCCATGTCAACAAGCATTTAATACATCCCGCTTGAAATTCAAAATTCTAAGGTTACATATAAAAAGGGAACTCAGTCGTCCATAACGTTTTATGCGATCAAATATTCTCTTTCTTACAAATTCTTTCTGAAATTCATCTTCTTCAAAAATCATCTTCTTCACATTCAACAATCGCAACTCACAGGCAAGATTCAATTCCATCATCACCAACAACTGAAGAAGTTGTTTCTATTCCAATATTGAAGATACAGGGTTTAAATTATCAAGTGGAGTCTGATTTATCCAAGTATCCGGATGAACTCAAGATGTTGGTGGTTGCTTTACAAAATCATGTTCTATCCAAAGCCATGTTTAATTTGTTTGCGGTTCCGATGTCCTAGTTGTCTAAATCCGGATCAACAGCATCGTACAACAAAGAAACAGGGAGTGTGGAGTTTACAATGGTGAATGAAACACGTATGCGGGTGTCCAAGAGGTTATTCTGCAAGATTTTGGGAATTCCGAACACAGGTCCGTATGTGGAAGTCACTTCTTCACAAATTGTGTTCATGTTCAACGAAATGGTTCATCAACCTCCATTGACGCGAATCAGTGATTTTAAGAAATCAGGTTTACCTACAATATGGAATTTCTTATTTGGTATTTTTCTTCGTTGTCTTACCGGAAGAACATTGGATCTAGATAAAGGGAGAATGGAAGTCTATGCAATGGTGGCTGGGCTTTATTATGATTTATAAGTTGATTACTCTGAACAGTTATGGACAGAGTTCTTGACAAGTATTTCAAAGACCAATGTCAGGCAGGGGATTTCATGTACCAGATATTGGAGTCTTATTCTTCAGTATGTTTATGCCAAGGAGAGGATTGCAGTTCCTGACGATGAAGAAAAAGTTGTTTTCCATATGTATGGCAGTCCGAAGGAGGTTGTTGATGATCCTACAATTTTTACATCTGTTGCTCGTATTCCGGATGCGATGCTTAAAAAGGTGGATCCAACAAATAACGTGTTGGTGTCATATCTTCAGTCAATTGACACAACCGTTGTTAGTGGTGTTTTATATGACGCAGAAACGAAGAAATCAAAGAAATCAAAGTAGACAAATGTTGGGTCTTTGGAAAGGAAAGTGAAGGTTGAGAAGAAGAAGAAGTCTCCTACAGTCAAACCAGCTTCAGACGAAGAAAGTTCTCAACAGATTATTTCTACCATTTCGATGACTGTTGCTGCTACACCAACAATTGAAGCTTCTCAGGAGAAAGAGATAATTCCGTCAAAGACGGGGGTTTTTCGCTGACTCAAATTCAAGCGAAAATCTTCATCTCAGATTGTTCAGAAAACTCAAATCACACATCAGGGTGTGATGGTTCGTAAAATTCCAGCCCCTGTTTCTCCATCGTCGAAAAAGCGAAGGGCTAAGGATCTTGCAAAGCTTATCAAGAAGTACCAAAGGACTGAGGAAGAAGAGAAAGTTCCTGAAACACCTGAAGTCCATATTCAAGAAGCAACAAAGACTAGTCCACCTGTAACTCTTTCAAAGCCTGTTGATTCGAGACCTGTTGAACAAGGTCATGTTATCTCTTTACCCCAGGTTACAACAACTACTGATTCTCCAACTTTTCAATCAATCATGGATCAACCGTTCACTACCATTTTTTCTACTCAATCTACTGATCCACCGAACCCATCATCACCGGTTGATGACATCATGGCTACTGATGCTGGAACTGATAATGAAGGCTTTGGAGGAACATTCGAAGCTCTTCACTTCGATACTTCCGAAGAAGATTTTCCAGACCACATGCTGATGACGATGAAGCAATTCAAGATTTTGAATTCAATCTTGCAATCACAAGCAGATGTGGGTAGTGTTGGGGTGACGAGTTTGGAGGTTGATTCATTAATGAAATTGATGGAAGGGTGCGTAATTTTGAAGGCTTCTGGATTAATTCGGGATTCAGAAAGTAGAGTTCTTGAAAAAGTTGATCAACATCATGCTTCTACTGAGAATCGAATTAATTCTCAGAATGTTGAATTTGTAAGAGAAGTGAAACATTTGAAGATAGTTACGAAGGAGTGTCATGTGCTCTTCGTACAAGAAGTTAAAAAGGTACGGGAGGATGTTAATCTACAAATCAGAGAACTTCGTGAAGAAATGCAAAAGGAAGTTCAAATTGTACAAAAGGATTATGCTTCGGCTAATCAGAAAATTGATATCATCTGTGATGCTGTCACCAGATGTGTCAAACTTTTCGAACAAATGAATCCAACACTGACAACTCTTTCTGCCAAAGAAGAACAAAATTTTGGAGAGTTGGTCGGTTTGTTGAAAGAATTAAAAGCCTTATCTTCGAAGTCTATCTCTCCGATAATTTCCCAAGAATTTCTTTCACATAAGTTTTCCCAATTCGAAGCCATTCTACACAAGAATCTGATTCCCCTTCTTCACATTTCCAGCCTTTTACCAACAATATCAGATGCCCCACCTGATTTCACAGGGGTGCAAGGGGGAGAAAAGATAGAACAAATAAAGGCTCGGGAACAAGTAAAAACTTGCGAAGGGATGAAGACAACTACAGAAGATGCGAAGGTAGTTGGAAAGATATACCCGTCAAAGGTGGCGGCAAAGGCAACTGTTGTTTTTGCTGGTCCAGTTACTTCAACTGTGATCACAACAGTTCCAATTCCAAAACCTATCTCAAAGGGAGTAGTAATTAGGAAGGAAACAGGAGGATCTTCTTCAGAAAAAGTTGACTTATCAAAAATAAAGGATAAGGGAAAAGAGATAGTTATTGAAAAGTCCAAAGAAGAGAAGAAAGCAGAGGTGGCAGCTGAAGTAGAAAGAATGAGACATGTACGGAGCATAATGAGACAAAGGGCTCTGGAAGATTCAAATGTTGATAAGGGTGATCCATCAAAAGTGTATAATTACGAAACTATTGCATCTAGAGTGATGTTTGATCGTATATATTCTTTTGAAAAGATTCCTAAGAAAAGCTACGTGGTGACAAACACTGTTTTTTGTCAACTTGATTTTCCAATCAATGAGATGATGTTTGTCATGCCACAATTTAAAGCTGAATCAAAGTCACTGGAAACAGAAGAGGGAAAGAAGATGAAAATAAGGTTTCATGCTGTGTTGGCAAAGGCTCAGGAAGAAGTTTGGTTTTTGGAGAAAATAAGAAAAGTGATATCTATCAAAAGAGATGTCATTTTCGAAGGGAAGTTTGAAAACGTTAAATACGTTGTTGCAAGGGCAAGCGGAAAAATTCAAGAATTTATGATGGAAGACTTTCCTTTGATGAATACGTATGATCTCATCAATGTCGCCTTGATGCTTAAAGACAAATCATTTTCATTTATGAAAGATACTGAGCCTGATGTTTTTAGTCTCGGGTGCAAGCACATAAAAATATACTTGGAAAATTACTTCGAGTGCTTGGCTCAAACAGATATGGAACTTGCTATAGTTAAAGGAATTGATATAACTGCACCAATGGCACCAACAAAGAAGCAAAATGAGCTGAACAAGTATGAAGATGGTGAAATTTGCTTAAAACCATTGGGGATAGTTTTTGCTGGGAAGGACAAAGCTGGAAGAGCTAAACGATTTTTGTTTCAAACTTGTGAAGTGGAGAGATACAGCAATTCTCAATATACGAACTTAATTGTTCGTATGAACCACTGCAAGAAAAACTCTGAAGGAGATAAGAAAGAGATAAAGAAGGTTATCTCTTGGTATACGGAGATCCAAAGAGTGCTGATGTACGCCGTTCAAGCACTGACTACTTGAAGACTTCGACCTTGATTCCAAAGGGGGAGATTGTTAGGGCTAAAATGTTGTAATAAGTCGAAGAGTCAGTTTTTTTGTTACGAAGAATCTTATTGTATTCATATGTATGGGTCTTCGTATATATAGTTATTTTACTAAGGTGTTATATAGTGATGGCTTAACGTTTAGTCCTTAGTATTTTGTTATGCTTTTATTCTCCTATAAATAGGGGTATGTACTAGTGATCTAGTAACAACTTTTACACACAGCTTTACAGTTTATTCATTGTATTCTGTAAACTGAAAGGCATAATATGAGCTAATCAAAGATTATATTTACTCTCGTGTTTATCGTTTCAATATTTTACTCAATTACTTCTAGAATTACATTCAAACTCGATTCCAAATCTCATCACTTGGCCCAATTCAACATGGAAAACTTGAGTCATTCCTTAAACGGGGTCATGCCATCCAAAAATTTGCGCATGTTCCATCCCTAAAAGAGTTGCATGTTTACAATCAAGTCAAAACCCTGTTTCGCAACATAGGGTGGCACGGCTTGTTGAGGGTCCATGAATTGAGCTATAAAGTCCCAACAGCTGAGTTTCTATCCTCAGTTTATTTGGACCATGGGATCCTCTACTTTCGTCTAATGAATCAAGACTATGAGATCTCTTTGGATCAAATCAATGCCATTGTGGGGGCCCCAACGACAAACACATTTAGCCCCACTGACCCAATTTAAGGATACTTTGACATGACATGGTGGACCCAACTCACCCAATTACACCCATATGTCTCTAGCGATGCTAAAGCCTCATCACTTATCCGCCCTATGATAAAGGTAGCCCATAGAATCATTGCTTCGCTCGTCGCCCTTAGAGAGGAGTGAAGCACCATCAGTGCGCTAGAACTCAAAATCCTCTATGCAATGACCCATCCCGAGAATAACCTCATTCCTCATTATGGTCGGTTTCTGTGCCACAAGCTCATCCGCCTGAGCACATCCCGATCGGGAAAGATTGTTTGCGGGGGTATTGTCAGCATGCTCGCCAAGAGCGCCTAAATCCGAGCCCCATACCCCGGTCCCCATCAGCCACTGTCAGGTGAGCCTTATCTCACCACTACTGTCGTTGAGTCCATGCGACTCTTCTGTTTGGCAGGCGATGGCACACACCATTGGGCCATGGGTCAAAATCTTGATCCAAAGCTCCTCATCACACCAGAAAATAAAGGCATTCTTGATTTCCGAAATCCCATTCATATGAGCGATTGGCAAATTTTTCCATACATCTTCCCCCACTGCTACTCCACCGAGGTAGATGGGCAAAGTGAAGAAAATGAGGAAGATGGTGATGATGATGAAGAGGAGGAGGAGCCCCACCATGCTTCTCCCACCGGTGGTGCCAGCTCATCCCATTTTGTTGCACCGCCGCCTTATCATCAACAGTATATGGATGAATTCCTGTCAATATATACCCGTCTCGACACCTACCAGCAGGATATTACCAGCCTGACCCAGAATTTTTCCACCTTCACCACCCAGTACACTCAGGATCAAGAACATCAGTGTAAATATGAGGATGACTTTTGGGCTTAGACCCGAAGCCCCAGCTACTATCCTTCGTTTTAGGTTGTTCCTCCTTCTCCAAGCATCGGGAACGATGCTTATCTTTAAGCTTGGGGAGGGGTAGACTTGTATATTAGGTTCACTCATACTCATGCATGCATTTTCTTATTTTCAAATTTTTTTATTTCATTTTTTCAAAAAATTTTATTTTATTCTCTCTTATTTTCTCTTTTCTATTTTATTTTCTTATTTTCATTTTCCTTGCATTCTATATTTGTTTTTTCAAAAAAAAAAAAAAGTGTACCAGATGATGACACTCTTTACATACAATTGCTCCATGAAATGAAAGAATTCTGAGGCGATTGGATAGTTACCAGAAGTGTAGAATCATCTGTCATAACTAAGGGACTCAAACACCGTAATTCGAGACCCTAGCCTTAAATAATAAAAAGAATTTATATTGAAACGTTTTTTGGGCGGTAATAACAGCTTTAGGGTGATTTGCTTTTGAATGTTTAAAAAGAATCTTTATCGGCAACTCTGAACCCACAAAACATGGACCTATTTGTTGACACGCGTTACCCTCGCGGTAACAGAGAGCTTAAGTATCAGATCCACACAGTCAAGAAAGAAGGAAGGGTACAACTGTCATATCTAGTACCCTAATCAGATTTTCAAATGCGAAAACAAAGAAATCCAAAGAAATTCCAAAAATGAAGATTGAAGAATCCAAATTCAAAACAAAGTACAAATTGAAGTTCAATCAATTCAAAAGCCAATTCAAGTCAAATCTGGCGAATGAAGAACTGTGTGATATGATACTTGTGGCTCTCGAAAAAGTGAAATCATAGGAGCTGGGCCCCTTCGGGTGGGCTCATTGTTTCAACGAAAATTGATTCGTCGTGACGGGTTCTTAAGGATGCGCAGATTCTGATTCTTGGCCATCTATGATGGGTTTTGTACATAAGAACATTCCTAAGTGCACATACAAACCCTAATGCTTGGATCTAGGTTTCTCTATTAAACATGCTTTGAATCCAAGGCTTCTAATGACTTATTAGGTGTAAGAACAACGCAAAATCAGATCTAGAAACATACCTTTGATTCTCTTGTTTGATCTTGTTGTCTTGGAGCTCTAGAGTCACAATTGTCACTCCTCTAATGGCTTACAAACACCAACTAGCAAAGAGGATGATTTGAGAGAGAGAGGAGACGGGATGGAATTCGACCAGAGTATCCTTACTTTTGAAGATGTGTCGAATTCTCTATCTCATAGGGTCTATTTATACTTGTAGACTCCTTAAGGGTTACAGCTTAAACCCTAATTGGATAACTATTACTCAAAGCAATCCAAATCCTTCCAAGATAATGACTTGGGCGAATTTAGGACTTATCCTAGCCTAGAATTCGTCCAACCCTTTATCCAATAAGGATTTACAGTCTAAAGTTTAACTATCAAACAATTGACAGTTTATGCCCTCTTATTTAATTAATCTCTTTAAGTCACCAAATTAATACTAATTAATCTATGACTTATATTAATCAAATAACTATATTATTATTCCTTATATTATTCTCATAATATATTAATAATATCTATTCTCTCATAATAAATCATCCTATGAAGTTGCTATGGTGAAGGCAACCCAAAAGGACCATGCACAATCGGGTCAAATACTTGCCTAATATAGTTGCAGCCTTAGACAATATTCCAACAATATAGTCTTAAGGACATGAAATCCGGACTATGTTATTTTCGCCCACAAAGCTTAGTAAGGTATAAAGATTAAATAAAACTTTGGTTGGATTATTGGGTTACACCGTTTCGGGTCTTCCTCACATTGAAAGTCTGTGATATGTGGAAGGAAACAGGATGGTTGCCAAGGTATCAATGATCGGAGCCATATCGATGTAGAGTCTGATCGTACCTTTATTTAGCTACAAAAGTACATATTTTGTGTTTGTTCTTAATCTTCTTTTATTTTGCTTCATTTTGTTTCTCAAGTGCATTTTGTACATACCAAAATTTTTCATGGCATTACATTGCATGCATTCATTCTTAACCTTTTGGATCCTTCATCCCCTTTTCGTTCTAAGTTTCTTTTTGTCATCCAGAAATCATCATATTTTGTCTGTTTCTTGTTCTTTCTTGAGGACAAGAAAGGTCTAATCTTGGGGAGATTTGTTAGGTGCATTTTGTGCACCTTTTTGCATAACTTTTAGCCCTTTTTTATGTATGGCCTTAGCATAATTTCGTTGTTTTTATTGCATTTTAGCATATCTAGGTTAATTTCTTGAACAACCTTATTTGCACTCTTTCATGTCCTTTTCAGGTGAACCGGAGGTTGGAGCGCGCTTTTGGAGGTGCTAGGGATCGTTGGTGAAGATTACGGGACTAGTGGGCGAGAATCGGAAGAATTAAAAAAAATCAAGTTTGGACGAGCATCCAAAGGGCAACACGGGGCGTGTTGGGTTTGCCTTAGAATCCAACACGGGGCGTCTTTGACTATCAATCAATTTTTGACTTCGATGAACACGACCCGTGTTCATTTAGCCTATATGGACACGGGGTGTGTTGGGCTAGATGGGCATTTTTGAGCATCGTACTTCAAATTTGGAATCGAGAATTGAAGGGTTGGTTTACACTCAACACGACCCGTGTTGATTTGCTCTATTTCGACACGGGGCGTGTTCGACTTAAAAACTGTCGTTTTGGCAGTTTTTCCTCTTTTCTTATTACGGAAATTAGGCCATTTTGGGGGTAAGAGGAGCGGAGAAAAAGCATTTTTGGGGAGAAGGAGTTGAAAGTTTTAGCAAGGATTGTCCGTTAAACATTTGGAAACATTTTAATTTCATATTTGTAAGCATTTTAATTATTGATTTCATCTTCTAGATTGTTGGTTTTGTTCTAGTCATGTGTGGCTAGAACCTTAATTTCTCCAACTCATGTTTTGACTTTCTAGTTGTGAATCTAATCATATGACTTGATGTTTGTTCTTAATTTCTATCTAATGAATTTGATTTTGCTTCAATCGAATGTTTGATTCTAATAGTGATTCTTATTGGCCATTTGAATTAGGGTTAGGTCATTCCAGTTATCTCTTTTAGAAAATCCGTAATTGTTTTGTGAAATTGAACAAGTAGCAAGCATTAAATTTATCTCTATTGAATGAATTTAGTGTAAATCTTATTCATACACTTATACACTTCCGAGCTTATGAGAAGTATTGGGTGTTATTGGGAACATTCACATAAAGCTTCTTGCAATCTTTCAATCTAATTCTAAGAGCTTGTTTAGATTAGGTTAGTATGGTTAGGATTAATCAAAGAGCTTGTTTTGGTTAATTATTATGGTGAATGGAAAGTGATAGAGCTTGTTAACACTTTCAAGTACTAATTTAGATAGAATGAAACAAAAGTCTTGTCATCTTGGATTCACATCGTTGAATTGTCATACATGAAGTTGGAGTCTTTATAATATCTGAATTTAATTTACTCATTCAGCTAATTACTTGTGATTTTACTTTATTTGTCTAATCATTGTAATCAACCCCCCCCCCCCTTTTTCTCTCGTCTTTTGTGAACAAGTACCTTACGCAAAAAAGGGTATAGACTGATTGTCCCGTGTCTTTGTGGATCGACCCTACTTGCCTTGTACTACTTTTTAGTGCAATAGAGTAGTGTTACTTGGGAGTATATCGTACCCCTATTATTTGTTGGGTCTAACACCCTTAACACATAACGATGTGTGTGTTCCCTTAAAATAAGATCTAAAGTTATAAGCTTCCATTTTATTCTATTTTTACCTCCAAAAGGATGACCCTTATTTATAAATATTTGGTCCATGAGACTCATGTTCATCATCCATTTCATCGACATCGTTTTAAGCCCCTATTAAGATAGCGTGAGCAAAAAGTCAAACATTCTTCAATCAAATATCCTTTTGCTATGGATCCCTCTGGATGACTCTTGTTTCACACATACGACTTCAAGTTGCACAAGTATCTTTCCATAAAATACATCCATCTATATTGGATAGGTCCTCTAAGTCTAATTTCGTTTACTAAATGGATAGGTAAGTGCACCATTATGTTAAAAAACATTGGCACAAATATTTTCTGAAATTCACACAATATTTGAGTTATTTCTAATTGTAAGCTATTAAGTTACCCAGGCCTAATTACCTTGCTACACAGACTATGAAAAAACCACCCAACCTAATCAATGGGATTGCAACATGCTTTGGTAATGATTTTTTCACTGCAACTTGAAGCAAGTAATGCAAAAAGATATAAGCATCATGTCTGTTGTAACCTGTAAATTTCTTTTCTGAAGAATTAACACATTGGGTAATATTAGATGCACATCCATAAGGAAACTTTTCTTCCTTCAAAACACGACAAAAAATGGATTTCTCCATTGATGACATTGAAAAACATGCATTGTGGAATATAACATTCTCACTGTCTTCAAAAAGTTCTGGTTGGAGTCTTTCTTCAATGCGCTACTCCAAAAGGTCAAATCAATCTTTTACATGATCCTTTGACTTTACACTAATATCCACCACAATCCCTAGCATGTTATCAATTATATTTTTTTTATATGCGTCGGATCAAGATTATGTCGGCATTCAATAAATTTCTAATAGGGCAATTCAAAATACATTGACCTCTTTTTCCATGGGCAATTGATATCATTTTTTTCTTTTATGTCTTCCCATAGACAACTCTCTCAAAGTTGCATCTCCTGATAGGGGTTTTGGAGAAGGTATTTTTTCAGTTTTACCACTGAAAGCACTCTTATTACGTTGCCATAGATGTTGATCATCTAAAAACCTATGATGATCCATATAGCATGTCTTTTTACTATGCTTCAGTTGGAGTGAACTGGTTTCATGATTACAACATGGACATGCAAATTTTCCTTTAGTTTTCCACCATGACAACATGGAATAAGCCAAAAAATCACTAATTGTCCATGTTAAGATTGCATACATTCTAAAGGTTTCATCTTTATATTTATTATATGTC